TCTGTAGTGGAGAGTGTGTTTAAAATTGTCTTCTCAAAGTGGGCAGGGAAAGCCTAGCCCTAACAGAGATTTAGCAAGCAGCAATGCAAATTCTTTGAAAATTAGAGGTAGAGGGCATCTGTATCCTTGTCTGAACATAGTGCCTGTATAGTAATTTTCCTAGGCAAAGGAAAAATCTGTTAGGAAAAATTCTTAAAACATTATATAAATTACATGCATTGTTATCAGTTACAGTGCTTTTGTCAATCAGGGAATGGAAAACATGAAGAGGTTTGGAACCTTATACTGTATTATATGGAATTATTTCCAATTCATATTGGAGATTTGAGATTCAAAGAGGATACAATTTCATTAAAAAAGAAATTCATCCATTGCTATAATAGAGAAGCATCATAATGCCTGCAGCTGCTTCATTTTTTTTAATTTTTTTTTTTTGGAATAAAGGCATGAGAATAATAGGGCTGCTTTAGAAGGCATTAACCCTGCCAAGTTTCAGGTGATATTGTCAAATGTTTCACTTCAGTATATATTTTTGAAGAGATCTAAATTTGCTCCAACAATACAGCATTTAGGAGTATGTAGAAGTTTTCATCTATACTGTGTATTCATTTTTTTAAAAGCCCTTTTTATAATCTGAAATACAGATACTGAATTTTAGATTAATATACTAATGAAAGCTTGCTGTTCAAGCTGCATGCTAAAGATTTGGGCAAATACAGACTTGGGAATGAGCTGACTCAGTATTTCATGTTATTTGGGAGAGACTCGGAAGTTCTGGCAGAAATCTCTAGAGGGTCAGAATACATACTGTAAGCATGGGACTTGAAATTCTCAGTTAAATTGTTATATATTTACTATTTATTTCTACATTTATATTTTTTAAATCATTGAATATACATAGCTTTGTGTGTCACAACTGAATGAAGAATAGTAAAGAATAATTCAATGTAAAGTTCTAGTCATGTATTTAAATAAATCTCATAGATATCAACAGAACTTGCCTCCAAGCCAATATTTTTAAAACTTGTTGGTTATGTGCTTCATTCTCAATATTGGATAAGGCACTGAGCCTTATCCTGATGGTTATGTTTAAGCACTGCAGCTATATCCCTTGTATATTTATGCAGAATAAACCAATGAAACTCTTCTAAATGTATTAAGAAAAAAGTAATATTTTTTTGCTTTTTTTTTTTAAATTAAAAGAATGATAGTTAGAAAAACTAACCGATAAAAATCAGATGGAAGGAGGCCAAGCCATCTTATAGCTGGAACTGTGAGGCGATGGGCTTCAAATGACATAGACTGAAACATAAAATTACAATCCTTTTGCTCAATATATCTGCCTTTTGTAGACTGAAACTTAATATAAAATAAGGCTTTTAATGATTGATACCATTATAGGCATATCTACTTTGATTGACTGATTATGTGCCATCAAGTCATTGTCGACTTTTAATGACCACATAGATAGATTTTCTCCATGATGATCTGTCCCTAACCTGGTCCTGCAGCTCTTCCAATGGTGCACTCATGGCTACTGTAACTGAGTCTGTCCACCTTGCTGCTGGTTATCCTCTTGGAATTGTCTACTTGGAATGTTATCATTTTTATCCCAAAAACTGTGTCAGTGCTAATTGATTAAACAATGGGAGAATTGAGTTCTCCTTTTTGCGGCAATATTTGAATCAGCTCTTCTAAAACTTCAGCAGAACCATTAAAAAAAAAAAAATCATGGGTTACATCCATTTGTGAAGTTATGTGTTTTATATTTAATTAGACCTGGCAAAAGAGAAAGTGTGATAAAAATTAAAAACACCTGTTTATGTGGCAAAAGCAACTGAATTGAACAAAGGGGAGAACAACAGATATTACAGTACACAGTGGAGACTGATTCTTTTTTCCGCTGAGGTGCAAAGTGGGCATTTGCAGGGAGAAGCAGCATGTGGAGTGTGTTTATTCCTTTCTCCCTCCACAAGGTTCTGATGGACTGTTTTTACACCGCATCACGGCTATGAGAGATGTCTGCTAATCAAGTACAGAAATACAGTTAAGGGGAAGGGCTGTTGAAGAAATACCTTCCGTCCCAAGCCTAGGCATTTTGTAGATGCTTCCAGTGCCATAGGCATACAGTGCTGCAGCAGCCACATGGTTGGGAGTTCAGTTTTTGTGGCTCAACTTGTAATTCTATCCTGAAGGGAAGAGGGAAGCTATGTGTTTTCCCAAACAGTACATTGACATACTGTAGCTAGGGTTCCTTGTGCTTGGTTATAAAAAAAATATTGGACGGATTCAGGATGGAATGACATTTACCTTGCAGATGGGGAGCGGAATTAAAATTGACCTTTACCTCAGTTGAACAACTACTGTAAACATGCCCTAAATGTTTTCTTCATTGAAATACTTACTAAAAAAGAAAAAAAAAAAGGATCATATGGTGAGTGAACGCTATTTATGAATAAAGAAGACAGGGTGGCGTAGTGGTATCTTTCTGTTTTTTTTCTTTTCTGCACTTTCTATTTTTTCTTGTATTTCTTTTATTTTTAGTTTGTATTAGTTTGTATCTTTTTAAGTGTAATTTTTAATAAAATTACTATAAAAGCATAATTATTAAAGTATGACATACAATTCAGTCCTTCCTCCCCCATCAGAGCTCAGGCAGTTGTTGTCAACATATTACAAGTGTTCCCTTGATTCCTTTCTCTAGGAATCTTATAGTTCTGAAGATTAAGATAAAACGGTTGCCTCGGGTTGGAGTTTTTCCTGGCTTCCGTGTTATTATTGATTATTATTAATGGCCACTAGGGGGCTCCCTTGTCCTGAATAAACTGCCAGTGTATTTTTGGTCTTTTTACCAGACTTCTACATGCCAAAATTCTCATCATTTGAATTGATATTCTCATTGTGTGGCCAATCCCAATCCCAATATACCTTTCCCGATCATTTAAAAGATGTGCAAAGTTTGGGGTCAAAACAGCCTTGCAATTCCAAGCCTAAATATGAGAAACAGATAAAGCATGTGCTGTCACATTTCCTTTGAAGAACCATTGTGAAAGAATATGACAAGTTTAAATTCAATAAAACTTACCACAGAACCATATTTGTAGATACACATTATTTCAATACCTGTAGAGAAACAATATCAATGGCACTGGAAAATACAGTTAAAATGTTTTTCGCAAATGAAGTAATTCCAAATTAATGAATTAATTCCAAGTATATGCATGGCACAGAAGTCCCAGAGAAGACACAGAGTCCCTAGTCAGTAACAGTGCCAGGCAGAAATAATGAACAGCTCCATCACCTTGCATTACATGTGCATTAAGATCAAGAGTGTACTAGGTCTTGCCAATATTTATTCCAAACTGTACTTTGAGGTAATGGAAATGCAAAATCAGGAAGGACATACAGAGGAAGATAAGCTTCTAGTAGAGAAGGAAGTTTAATCCCTTTCAAGCCAAACAATTCTTCCAGGAGTCATCACCTGACCTCCCTTCTGTCTTTCTTTTCATAACAAGAGTAAAGAAGGGAAATGACAGATTCAGCAAAGGTAATGAAAAGTTCTGAATGTGGGAGTGGATCTTGGTAGTGTCAAGAGAGGCTCCTGGGGGGAAATGGAGATAGAAGAAAAAAGAAGTGAAAGAAAGACTAGAATGTAGAATGTAGTAGAATGTCTGCAGGAAGAAAAAGAGAGTCTTGTATGAAAAAACATTAGTAGATGGATTAATCTCCCAACAGAATTAATTATAAATGGACTTAAGGAAGGGGTGTGTGAAAGCTGGTTGAAGCAGAATGAAAAGTATGTTCTAGAATGCAACAGAACTGTGTGGCATTATTATAATGGGAAGTGTGAAAAAAGGAGGTGGGTGGAATGATGAAGTGAAAAAGGTTGTGGATAAAAAAAAAGCATGTTAGCCAAGCAGCAAGACAATTTGGAAAATCTGGGAAGTGCAGTGTACTTTCTGCAAGGGGTATACAAACCAGATTTCTGTTCTTCAGGAGATCAGTGAAAAATATATGAATATAATAAAATGTTTATTCTATATTTGTTAATTTGGAAAAAGTATATGATAGTCAATCGGCTTGAATTAGTTCCCACAGAAAAGGTAGAATACAAATCAAATCAATCAGTAAGAAAATGTTTTGCATGAATATGGAGTTGAAGTTGGTTGCTGAGCAGAGTAAAAGCAAATTATGATGGAAGTACTGTACGTGTGAGAATTAACTGAATGCTCAGCAAATAGTTCAAATCTGAGCACAACATAAGATATGAATGTGTGATGTTCCCTTGGCTTTTAAAATTATTTAGCATATAGGGAAGAGAGGAGTCTTTGGAAAAGACCCTGATGCTGGGAAAGATTGAAGGCAAAAGAAGAAG